CCCTGGGTCCTCATTTGTAAGTGGGTGGAGTCATTGCACTGGTTGGGTGAGGAGGCCTCATTTGTGACCTGGACACCGGGACAGTGGAGGGAGAGAGAGGAGCGAGAGAAGTTTCTGAGGCCCCTTTCTTCCCACAGGAGCCTGCTGGTCCTGCTGCTCTGCCCCCTCGGCCCTGGTGAGACCACTGCCTTGAGGACCCCAAGCAAAGGTATGTGATTAGTTTCCTGCCTGGGGCTGCAGTGCAGGGACTGACCACCAGGGGGCAGCTATGCCCACTCTACTCAATGGAGCAACTGGAGTAGAGACGGGACACCCGGGGTCATTCTGGGCATCCCCCTGCCTCCGACCCAACAGGCACCTTTTATTACTAGCCTCCAGGCCCACAGTGTGAGCTGCAGAGGCGGGAAGGGGCTCTGAGATCCTCTATTGATTCATTCAGCTACTGTGCCCTAGGCACTCACCCAGGAGCACACAGCCTGGAGGGCCAGATGGACAAAAGCAGGAAAGTAAATCCCTGGGAGAGAGAAGAGCACGTGCTCCAGGGAAACGAGTCAGGGTCCTGGAGGGAGGGCCGGGAGCTCCTGGGGTGGGGGAATGGTGTCTAAAGGTCTCCAGGGTGATCATGATGCTGTGACCAGAAAGACCAGAGGCACCAGCCCTACAGACTCTGTGAGAAGTGAGTGGGGGAAGGTCGAAGGTGCAGAGACTTGGAAACAGAAGAGACTTTGGCCAGAGAGGAGGGCGGGAGGGAGGAGGGCAGGGCCGGACCCGGGTCTGGAAGGCCGACCCGCTGTCTGTGCGGGGTGACAGCGTTCCCCTAACTTAGCGCTTACGAGGACAACATTGACCATCTCCGTGTCTGTGAGCAGGGTGCAGGCTCAGCTCAGCTCAGCTGGGAGCCTCTGCCTGGAGGGCTCCCCGGACGCTGGGCTGTGGTCTCAGTCGAGTCTCCGTCAGGTGGGTCCGTCTCTGAGATCACTCGCAGGTTATTGGTGGCGTTCAGTTTGGACGGGGGCTCAGGTCTCTCCTGTCTCTGGGCCAGGACCCAAGGCTGGGTCTTTGCTCTGGCACCTCCTAGGGCAGCTCATAACATCTGATCTTGCTTCTCCAGAACATTGAGTCAGAGACAGAGACAGAGAGAAAATAAGAGATAGAGACAGACAAAGACAGAGAGAGACAGAGAATGAACGCAGGAGGGAGGGGACCCAGCAGAAGTCACAACCTTTCATAAATGAGTCTTGGAAAACACAGCCCATCCCTTTTATCACAAAGTCCATCCACCCTGAGGGGAGGGGATCACACGGGGATGTGTGACCAGGAGGCAGGAACGCTGGGAGCCATTGAGGGGCTGCCCCGCCAGCCCCCGACCCTGGGCCGAGATGACACAGGACGGAGGAACTGGAAGGTCCTCTGTTGGGGGGACTGGGAGGGGGCGTGGCTGTCCCTAGGTCCCAGGCAGACCTGGCCTGTCTGAGCTCTGCTCTGTGCCCCGCCAGCCCCTTCTGCGGCCCTTCCACTGCTGAGCCTGCATGAGGGATGTGTGGTCCCAGCCTAAGGGTGTGCAGGCACTGTGGGTGTGTACAAGTCTCTGTACCTGATGACACCCATGAAGCAGATGCCAGAATGACCCCCACTGTGCAGACGGGGAGACTGGGGCAGCCCTGAGAGGCACGCGACTTCTCCAGGGTCATATCACTGGTGAGAAGGAGGAGTGAGGTCTGAGCCCAGTTGTGTCCCCTGAGCCGGGGCCCAGGCTGACCCAGGCCTCCTCGTTGGTGTCGCTGTGCAGGGACATGGCATGGGGTCAGGAGTGAGCAGTCAGCAGCCTGGAGGGGCCTGCTCATGTCTGAGCAGGAAGCCTGGAGAAGGGCACCCCAGGAAGTCATCTCACTTCTTGATGACAGAGCCCAACAGAACTTGGAGCCCAGGATACCAGGTGCGTGTTCTAGGGAAGCCCCAGTCCAACTAGCGTGGCCAGAGACCTCAAATGAGCACCATGTTCTCCTGCTGTGTCCCGATGTCCCGAGGCCATAGCCACAGACGCATCTGGCCATTTGCCTGGAGGCACCCAAAGGTAACACAGGGACCACCAAGGCAGCCGGGTCCAGGCCAGGCCACCTCCGGGATCCCACCTGGGCAGCCCTATGTCCCCTCCCTGTGTGTGTGGAAGGGGAGGCATGGTCCATGTCGGGTGGGCTTCCCCGAGCAGGAGCAGGCTGATGAGGGGGCAGAAGCCTGATGGGCCTGTCCTGTGAAGCACCAGGTCAAGGTGTCTGGGTGGACGAGGTGCTAGGGTGGTGACCTTCAGCCCGAGGTTCATCCTACATCCTGGAGGCAGACCTCACCGCATCCCAGGTAGAGGCTGTGCAGACACAGGTCTGTGCCCGATCTGGGAGCAGAAGTCCAGCAGGTGGAAAAGCATCATCTCGGGCAGGCAGAACTCCATCCTCAGGACTGCTGCCGGGCACTGTCTTTTCAGAGCTCCGTGCAGGAGATGGTGAGGAGCTGGTCAACAGAGGCGCCCCCTCCATCCCCCTGGGTGAGCGGCAGCCCCACGGCCACCGAGGGCAACACAGGCTGGAGTGAGTACCGGCCAAAGGGCTCCCCAGAATGAGGGCCCTAAATGGCTGGGGAGGCCTTGCACCTGCTCCCACAGGAGCCCCAGAGCCGGTTCAGGACCAGCAGCCCTGCGGGGAAACCAGCCTGGAACCCTCCTCAGTGCTGGATCCCAAGCCACACCTTCAACTCACTCCCCCCCCAGAAGGTCCCTTCCCTCCCCTGTTCTTGTTCTGGGTTTTTTCTTTTTCCACTTTACACTTTACATGGTGTCTTATATTCTAGGTTCTAAATTTAAAATATTAAAACTTCATTTCACATCATTTTCAGCTGAACAGTTTATAAGCATTAAGTCCACTCACGATGCCACGTGACCTTCAGGCCTGTCTCGGAACCAACCGCCTCACTCCCCAGAAGGAAGCCTGGGACTGAAAGCCATCGGCCCCCAGCCCTCCCTCCCCCGCCCCCTGCACCTCCTAATC